AAAAGACCCCCAACAAATCCACCAAGAGACCCTCAACAAATCCACCAAGAGACCCTCAATAAATCCACCAAGAGACCCTCAAAAAATCCACCAAGAGACCCTCAACAAATCCATCAAGAGACCCTCAGCAAATCCATCAAGAGACCCTCAACAAATCCACTAACAGACCCTCAACAAATCCACTAAAAGACCCCCAACAAATCCATCAAGAGACCCTCAACAAATCCATCAAGAGACCCTCAGCAAATCCATCAAGAGACCCTCAACAAATCCACTAACAGACCCCCAACAAATCCACCAAGAGACCCTCAACAAATCCACCAAGAGACCCTCAACAAATCCACTAAAAAAAACCAACAAATCCATAAAGAGACCCTCAACAAATCCACCAAGAGACCCTCAACAAATCCACTAAAAAAAAACAACAAATCCATAAAGAAACCCTCAACAAATCCATCAAGAGACCCTCAACAAATCCATCAAGAGACCCTCAGCAAATCCATCAAGAGACCCTCAGCAAATCCACCAAGAGACCCTCAACAAATCCACTAACAGACCCCCAACAAATCCACCAAGAGACCCTCAACAAATCCACTAAAAAAAAACAACAAATCCATAAAGAGACCCTCAACAAATCCACCAAGAGACCCTTAACAAATCCACCAAGAGACCCTCAACAAATCCACCAACAGACCCCCAACAAATCCACCAAGAGACCCTCAACAAATCCATCAAGAGACCCCAACGATGGAGGAGTCCACACGCTCAGACTTGGACATCGAGATGATGATGTTGACCCTGGACGATGTTGTGGGTCAGAACCCTGACCCCAGTGATGAGGTGGAGAACCTTCAGAACAGGTAGACTTCTCAGGTTTACTGTACTGTGGAGAAAATGAGACCGCTAGAAACATGGCTGCTAAAATGTGACCTGGTGGAGCAGTGGTTAGTGCTGTTGCTTCATAGCAAGGATTGCCTCCTGACCATACATCCTGTTGTGTCTGACCATTTTTTAATTACTTTTGAATTTACATCAAATGACTACACAGTGGGCAGCACGGTGGCGCAACTGGTAGAGCTGCTGCCTCTCAGCAAGCAGGTCCTTGGTTCAAACCCAGGTCCAGGGGCCTTCTGGGTGGAGTTTGCATGTTCTCTCCGTGCATGCGTGGGTTTTCTCCGGGTACTCCGGTTTCCTCCCACAGACCCAAAACATGCATGTTAGGCTAATTGGTAACTCTAAATTGTCCCTAGGTGTGAGTGAGAGAGTGAATGGTTGTTTGTCTCGTTTGTCTCTATGTGGCCCTGTGATGGACTGGAGACCTGTCCAGGGGGTACCCCGCCCCTCGCACAGTGATTGCTGGACATGGGCACCAGTGACCCCCGTGGCCCAAAATGGAATAAGCAGGTAAAGATAATGGATGGATGGATGGATGACTACACAGTCACTGAGAGTAAATTTCATCTTAGTAGGTGTTTATCAGAAAACGCTGTAACCAAATTTAAAGATTCTCTTCCATCGCTTTCCTTTGTCTTGCAGAGTAATTCATAGGGAGAAGTAACTTAGATCATCTAGTTGATAATTTTACAACTACTTTGCAAACTTCACTCGATGAAGCTGCTCCGCTGAAAAAGAAAAATCAATTAGAGGAATTAGCTCCTTGGTCCAATTTTGAGTTGTGTACTTTAAAACTGACATCTAGAAAGCTAGAAGGAAAATGGCGCTCTACTAATGTACTAACTAGCCCGAGGTTCCTTTTCAGTACCATAGCTAGTCTAATGAAAAATCCCCTCTCTGTTGATTCATGTATTCCTATAACTATAAGCAGTGATGACTTCATGAGATTCTTTATAAATAAAGTTGTTTCAATTAGAAAGAAAATTCAAACCAACATTCCTACTATCACCTCTGGTTCTGTGTCAGATGAGTCAACTTTAAAATTTCACTAGAGCCTGATTTATGTTTGGACAGTTTTTGTCCTGTTGAGTTCTCTGAATTGTCAAAAATAATAACCTCATCCAAACCATCCAAATGTCTGCTAGATCCCATCCCAACCAGACTGTTTAAAGAGGTATTTCCTTTAATTTAATTAATTAATTAATTAATTATCACGTCTTGGATCTGCTTAATTTGTCTTTAATAAATGGTTACATATCACAGAGCTTTAAGATTGCTGTAATGAAACCTTTACTTAAGAAACATAATCTTGACTCAGAAATCCTAGCCAACTATAGATCTATATCTAATCTAACTTTCATCTAAAAAATTCTAAAGAAAATAGTTGCAGGTCAGTTGTGTGAACATCTACAAATAAATAATCTGTTTGAAGAGTTTCAGTCAGGGTTTAGAGCTCATCATAGCACAGAAACAGCACTAGTAAAAGTAACTCATGATATTCTCATGGTCTCAGACAATGGACTTGTGTCTCTACTGGTCCTGTTAGACCTCAGTGCTGCATTTGATACAGTTGATCATAATATTTTACTACAGAGGCTTGAATATGATGATATTGGGATTACAGGAACAGCTCTAAAATGGTTTAAATCATATCTATCTGATAGATTCCAGTTTGTAAATGTAAATAATGAATCTTCTTCATACACCAAAGTTAGTCATGGAGTTCCTCAAGGTTCAGTGCTTGGACCAATACTCTTTACTTTATACATGCTTCCATTAGGTAAAATTATTAAACAACATGAGATAAATGTTCATTGTTATGCTGATGATACACAATTATATTTGTTCATTAAACCCAATGAATCCAATCAGCTACTTAGTCTACAAGCATGTCTTAAAGAAATAAAAACCTGGATGACCCTTAATTTTCTCCTGTTGAACAGACAAGACTGAGGTTTTGGTTTTTGGACCTGAGCACCTTAGGAATGAATGTTTCAGTCTCTCTCCCTCCTTAGATGCATTAATCTGTCCTCCAGCTCTAATGTTAAAAATCTTGGTGTTATTTTTGATCAGGACATGTCTTTTATCCCCCACATTAAAAACGTTACTAGAACCTCCTTCTTCCACCTGCGTAATATCACTAACATTAGAAACATCTGATCTAAAGATGATGCAGAAAAACTGGTCCATGCATTTGTCACGTCTAGACTGGACTATTGCAATGGTTTATTATCTGGGTGTCCAGATACTTCTTTAAAACGTCTTCAGTTGATCCAAAATGCTGCTGCCAGAGTCTTAACTAGAGTTACTGGGAGAGATCATATTTCTCCAAATTTAGTTTCTCTCCATTGGCTCCCTGTCAAATCCAGAACAGAATTCAAAATCTTACTTCTAACCTACAAAGCTCTCAACAACCTAGCTCCATCTTATATTACAGATCTTATTGTTCCATATTTTCCAAACAGAGCACTTCGCTCTCAGACTGCAGGTTTACTTGTGGTTCCTAGAGTTTACAAAAACAGAATGGGAGGCAGATCTTTCAGTTATCAGGCTCCTCTCTTGTGGAACCAACTTCCAATCTCTGTCCATGAGGCTGACACATTATCCAGTTTTAAAACTAGGCTTAAAACTTTCCTTTTTGCTAAATCCTATAGTTAGGGTCGGCTTGGGTTTCCTGAGCGGTCCCTTAGTTATACTACTATAGGCTTACACTGCTGGAGGACAAACTGACCACAATTTTCACTCTGCTGCTGTCTTTACTTACTCTGCTTAACCTGTTTTGTATTTGTAATTATTTTTTCTATCCTTAACATGTGATTCTTGACCTGCCATTGTGTATTTGTTCCTACCAAACCCAGCCAGTCGAAGCAGATGGCCGCTTGTCTTGAGCCTGGTTCTGCTAGGTTTCTTCCTCATGAGAGAGTTTTTCCTTTACACTGTCTGTAACGAACCCCCTAAGGTTTGGACCAAAATCACCACACAAAGTAAAAAAAAATATATATATTTATTTTCTAGGTGGAATATTGCAGATTGGGCTGGTTCTGGTACTGGTTCTGGTTCCAGATCAGGGACAAGTCTATGAGACAGAGATTGGTTAGGGGTCATGCAGGAGACTGTGGGGAGCAGAAAAGTCAAATAAGGAGGACCACTAACTGTCTCAGATGATTTTGGGGGTTCTGGAGGCTGGAGTTGTTCCAACTGATCCGGACCGCTGCTGGAGGAGCTGAGTCCGGTGAGGGACTGCAGCTGGCTGCAGCGACAGGCAGGTGATGAGTCCATCATGCGCAGAGTCATGGTCCAATGAGCCAGGGTCCAAAACCAAAGGGCAGATGACTGAAGGGACCGAAGGAGCAGACCAAGAAGCGTAGTCGTACAGGCGAAGGTCAGATCTGAAGACAGAAGGCTTAACTATCCAAGGGGTAGAGCGAGAGAAGAAGTCCAGTTGAGTCGTGGGTCCAGGAGCCAGGAGGTCGAACTGAGAGGTAAGGACAGAAACCAGGAGCGGGACAGGAACGAGGAGAACAGGTAAACTATGACAGGGGAACACTATGGCTGGGGGGAACAAAACAGGATCAAGAACGCGAGGTGTCTATTTGCAGAAAACTGTTTTCAACTACTGGGCACCGAAGAAGAGAAAGAGTGAAGCTTATATAGGGTGAGAGTGACAGATGCAGCCAGTTGAGCTCTAATCAGTTGCTGCTGGCTGCCATGAAGACAAAGCTAAACAAACAGTGATGACGCCCTATACCAGCATGCAGCGAAGACAACCTAAAACGCACATGAATAAATATACACTACAGGAGCGGACACAATAAATGAAACCAACAGGATAGATCTACTGAAAATATAATCTAAGGGGCGTGATTAGTGACACTGTCGCCTTCATGCTTGTTCAAGATGAGAGTTCTGTGATGGAGTTAAACTCAAGGCTGTCTGCTCCTTAGATAAATAATGTTAAATTATTATTTTATATATGGATGTTTCTGTTCAGTGTCCTGAGACGACTTCTGTTGTGACTTGGAGCTACATAAATAAATTGAATTGAATTGACCTTTCTGGATGGAGTTTGCATGTTCTCTCCGTACACGCGTGGGTTTTCTCCAGGTACTCCATTTTCTCCCACAGACCAAAAACATGCATGTTAGACTGACTGGTAACTCTAAATTGTCCCTAGGTGAGAGAGAGAGTGAATGGTTGTCTCGTTTGTCTCTACGCGTCCCTGTGATGGACTGGAGACCAGTCCAGTGATGGCTGGACTTGTGCACCAGTGACCCCCGTGACTTGAAAAGGAAGCAGATAAAGCTAATGGATGGATGGATGGAAGATGGATGGATGGATGGATGGATAGATGATTGGTGGATGGATGGATTATTTATTATAAGATCAGCTGGTTCTGATTCATAAATCTGAATTTTTCAGTTTCAATGAATTGTGTCAATGTTTCTCTTGTCTGTGGTGGCTGTCTGGTGTTGGACTCCAGAAGGTAATCAGTTGTGCAATGATTGACCGATCTGAGACTTTCTGTAAAATCTGTATGGTGGTTTATAAGATATTCTTCTAACATTACAGACACAAACAAAACATTGGGCGTGTTTTTGCGGTAGTGGTGGTGGATTATTAAATAGTAAAAATGTGCAGCGGGACAATCCTTTTGGTATTAAAATATCTTGTGTAAAACTCCAGAATGTGTTCAGCTTCACTTCTAATAAAAGTTATTTCTGTTTTGTTCAGTTATCGAGAGGCTGTCAATGATGACAGCATCCAGCCCAAGATGCAGTGTCTGATGATGGACTCCTCGTTCTCCATGGTAACAATGCAAGGGGAGGACAGTGGGATTGCCTGGGAGACGACCCCAGGGGGCTGCTGCATGTCGTGGCTTTCTGAGGCTACAGATGTCTCTCCAGTTCCGATACAAGTCACAACATCTGGGTCTCGATCAGCAGGAAAGATTATATTTGTCCTGGACGATGAGATGCTTTCAAAACAAAGAAAAACTAAAGAAAAGGAGAGCAGTCAGAAGAGCAAAGCAGAAAAACAACTAGTCTTTCTTGCGGAGAGCTCTGAGAACTTCTCAGGCCGGCCAGAGTTAGTGGAAGTCTCTAAACCAAATGTCAAGTTTGAAGGAGAAGAAGACAGAGAGGGAGCAACTTGTCCTCTGGCAGACAACGAGCAGTGCTTGTTCAGCATAGTGTCTGAAGGCTCTGAAATCCTTAATATTGTTGTTCCCCCTAAACTAGCCACCGTGGACGAAGAGGAGAGCAAAGAAATGGTCGACAACCTTTCATATCTGGAGGACAGTCTTGCATTGAAAGCCAACGAGGAGACCCAAGACAACGAGATGCTGATTCCAACAGATTCTGAAGTGAAGGCAAATGACCAGTTCAAGCCTCCACATTGTGCATGTCTAGGTGCAATGGATCCACCGGGGGCTCCAGTGGCCAGACCTACAGGCAGAGGAGCTGTTAGGAATATGGACTACTTTGAGGCCTTCTCTCTGATAGATGCCCAGGCTCCAGGAAGTCCTGCTGTCATTGCAAACCATCAGGAGCACCAAGAGGCAGAGGCTACCACAAAAAAACAGAACACAGAGAGTTCAGAGCAGTCTGAAAACTATACCATCACTAAAAGTGTGGATAACGATAAGTTAGACACTGTCAGTTTGGAGGAACTCACCAGTGAGCTTCTAGATGAAGTCTTCTACGGTGGTACAGATAGTTACCCTGTAAAAAGTCTGGATGATGAAGTTGGAGGAGCAGAGGGTGCAAAATATAGGCTTCCTTCCAAATCAAGTGGTTCAACTTTGTTTAGTAGCCAGGAAGACATCCTTACTCCAGTCTTTCTTCCTGAAGGACCTCCAAAAATTATAGACCCAGTTTTGCTGGAAGAACCAAAAGCCATGGCCTTTCTCTACACTGACTTGTACGAAGAGGCGCTGGGCACCCGGAGAAAAGACGAGGACACTGAAAGCATGACCTCTGAGAAGTCTTTCCACAGCAGGCACTCTGATCGAGAGGCCCAAGGATATTTAGAGAAATATGCCCTCATAGATGAGACTCCTGCTGAGGAGGTGAAACAGCCAGGAAAAGACCGTTTCCCAGAGGAAGATGAGCGAATCCTTCCCCAAGACTTGCTTGACTTTGAAGAGTCACTGCTCGAGTCTGAAAAAGAGCTGCGAGTGTCAGAAGAAGTCACAGATTTCTTCAGGTCCAGTGCCAGTTCTTCTCCCTGTGAGTTAGACCCTTTCCCTCGATCTCTAGAAGATGATGACAAACAAACGATGAAAGAAACGACGACACAAAAACGAGTCTCTGTGGCTGCAGCTAAAGTAACAGAACCTCCCGTGGATCTGATGGACCCAGCAAGTTCTGAGTTGACCTCAGCAGAACCAGACTGGGACTGGTTAGAGTCCCATGATGATCTGATCACAGATCTTCATTCTGGAGGTCAGGATGAAAGTCGAGTCAGCAAAGATGAGGAGGTGCTGAAACAAGACTCAGACACCAACAGACCAGCTGCACCTCCTGGGGGGAAGGCAGCCTCCTCGACCAAAGGATGCTTGGATCTAACACCTCTGACTCCAGCTGATGGGACTCCACAGGACAAAGAAGAGGGTGGAGGGAAGGAGCACAGGGTGGAGGAGAAAGAGACAGCATCACCAGTGGAGACCGCAGACGAGGGAGATGGTGATGAGGAGGAAAACATGCAGAACATCTCTGAAGCTGCACAGATGGAGATCACCCTGGCTGAACTAACAGGAGGCTCCTCCAAAAGAAAACGTGTAAAAGACGACCATGAAACTTCTGTCCAGGATGTAGGACCAGCTGAGGAGGAGGGAGCAGGAAGAGATGAAAATGAAGGAGCTCCAGAACAAACAGAGCTTGAGGAGACAGATGTTCAGGCAGATGTTGAAACAGAGACAACTCCAGAGAGACGAGAAGACTCTTCAACCATCCCATCAGCCAAAGCAGCTACAAACAAACGGCAGTGCGCCATACTTTAATTTATCTACAGTATTTTCAACAACTTTAAAACATATCCACACATTCAACCGAGTGCCGTTCTGACAGCGAGATATATTTAATTTGTATTCATCAGGGATGCACCGATCCACTTTTTTTAAACTTCCGATCCGATATCGATACCTAAGTCTGAATATCGGCTGATACGGACCCAGTTCCAATATCATGATCATCACTGATTTTATATGAGGCTGTAATAATCTCCTCTCAAGTACAGTTTGTACAAATATATGCATGCATGTCCAAAAAGGCAACTTGAGGTAAGTTTTATTAATGTTGGATAAGTTTTAAAGTTAGAATTAAATTCTGCGAACACAAAACATGTTTCTTTTTATTCCTAGCTTTAAAGTGGATATTAAAGTGAGTAATTTAAGTGATTGTTTAAAGTTGTTTTATATTTTATTTTTTAAATGAGGGGCAGATCTAAGATTTTTCTTCTTTCTGCACTCTTTCATTCAATGTTTTCTTTTTGATGATTTTGTTTTGTTTCTTTTAACTGAATGAATAAATTAATTAAATAAAATAAATAAATAAAAAAGACTATAAACACCTGCTTAGTTCATGACATAAACCAACACAGACATGTTCCTGTTTTTAGTATTTTACATCACTTTATAATGTAGCTGTTTATGTTTATTTATTTTTTAATAAATATAATTTTCTTTTATTTTTCACATCACATGTTTTTTATGATTGTCTACTGTTGTACTGATAAATATCTCCTGGAGGGTAAACTATATCTTGACTGCAAGTATCAAACTGTGAAATCCTTTGTTTTCTACAACTGATAGTGGTCGGTCATTAATGATGAAGTTTATCAACTTCTCTGTAAACATTAGAGCTCCGTGGTTTCAGCGACGTCTTCTTCTTGTTCAGTCCGAAGCAGGCAGTCTGATCTGGGTCAGCCCCGCTCAGTCTGTCCCTCCTCAGAGACGAGCAGACTGAGCGGGGCAGAGTGGACGCTGCTGGCCGGGGTCGAGTCGCCTCTTTTGGGTTGAGCAAAGAGCAGCGCCCCCTGAAGCCCCGGAGCTCGAATGTCCAACATAAAACTAACTTTACCGTGGTTTAATGTGGCGCTGTGGCTCTGCAGACAGTGCACGTTGCTGTCTTGTCTTGTGGTGTTTAGTGTAAAATACTTCCACACAGCGACATGTTTAGATGAGAGATGCATCCCTCCCTGGCCCAGCAAGGGAGACAAGAACCCCCCCATGTCACAACCTGTGGGTCAGGCCTCAGCAGAAGGTCCACGTCCTGCACCTGGAGGAGGACGTCCACTTCCTCCAAGTGGGCGACAGGAAACCAATATGTAGGCTACATGTATGAAATCATCTGTTTTATTCTTTGAGGGCGGGGCCAGGTGCACGTGCCACCTTTGTTGAGATGTCGTCCTGGGCATATCACCCTGATCAGAAACCTGATGCACTGATGGTGCCGTTGTGTAACCTAATGCACCCCCATAGCATCAGAGAGACTGCATGTTAAACTGTATGCTGATGACAGGTCAATGGTCCCTCTCCTCTTTAGTTTGAAACACAAGACATCTGTGATTTCCTACAATAATTCAGAGTTTTGATTCATCTGACGAACAAACATTTCGTCACTTTGCCTCCGTTTAATTTATTTGAGCTTCATCTTTCCATCATGGAGCTTTAAAGTCATCATTGGTGGTCAGCACACTGAGCTGTGTTTGCAGACAATGATTTGTGGATGTTTTCTTGAGTCCACACACCTGAACTGACTTCAGGAACACACATATAAAAAACTTAAATGGTCTGTCTGTTAGCAACATATCTCATGAACAGCTCGTTGGATTTGGTTGCAACTCACAGAAAGTCATCAGCGCATGTATCTCTAGAAAATGTTAACGTTTGGAGCCATTTTGATTCAAGATGACTGCCACAGCTACCTCAGCAAACACAAAATTGACTATAACGCAGTCGTTCTTTGAGATATTGAGCTGTACATGGCTGTAGCTGAGAGCGAGTTGTTTTATATTTCTAATACAAATCAAATATCCAAGATGGCTGCCTTAGCTAAAAAGGAAAAACACTAACTCAGCCATGTTTAGAGCTGAAATGTGGTGTGGTAGTAGCTGAGAGCAATGCCCCATACATAGTAAAAAAAATCAAGATGGCCACCAAAGCTACATTTAAAGCTATTTTTATACACAGAGCTGAAGTTTGGTGAGGTTATAGCTGAGAACGTTTCTCATCACAAACTGAATCCAAATCAAAGATCCAAGATGGCCGCCATAGAGTAAAAGAAAAAAAACAAGTAACTCGTTGATTTCTGTTCCGTACTCAGCTGAAGTTTGTTTTAGTGGTAGCTGGGAGCGAACTGTCAAATGATTATTAATTTTCTTCTTTCAGCTGCTCCTTCTTCAGGATCAGAGAACTAACTCTCATGGAGACTTGGTGATGGTTTTTACTCCAGATGTTCCTGACTCAACCACCGAGCTACCACAGCCCTCTGTGTGGGCGGCAGATGGTGGGGGTTAAGGCCTTGCTCAAAGGCCCAGAGTGGAGCAAAGGAAGGTGGAGGCAGGTGTGGGTGCTTCACCTTTCACATCCACATTTTGATGTTGTCCAAGGCCCACCTTCTCTAACCGCTGCACCACCGCTCCCCACATGAAAATTAAAATGGCCGCATCGTGGCAGTCCAGGAACTTTCTAGTCTGAGATTTGATGCTGCCATTAAATTTAAAGTTACCTAAAAATGTTTAAATCTTTTAGTTTAAATGTTTTATATTTATTTTATGTTTGTGAAAAATGTGGGTTTATGAGATTAGAAAATGATTGCATTCAGTTTTTATTACTTCACTTTTTGGGAACTGCGGTTGCACTCTCTGTTGATGAAGGAACCACAGATCAATTCTTCTTGTTTCTGCGTTGCCAGACTCTCACTGTGTTGCCAGACTCTTGAGTGTTTAGCATGAATGATTGCAGGAGACGTTTGAGTCCAAGAGAAAGGCTGATGTTAAAGTCTGTGTGACAAAATGTGCAGCTATAAATAAACTCTGCTAACCCGACACCCGTGAATATCAGCACTCGGTGTACTGAGCTCTGGCTCGTAAACCGTCAAGAGAAGACATGCAGCACGTGGAAACATGCAAGTTCATCTACTATATTTACTTTTTATTAAACTTTTACACCACATTATATTGCGTTTATTCAATACAGTCATGGGTTAAAGAAAAAGAAAGTGCATCCTGTTCCTGTTGTTAGTTTCAGGACAACAAAGCATCTGTTATTTTGACCCACTTCTTACTTGCAGGGGTCGCTGGTGTCCATGTCCAACGGTCACTGTGCGAGAGGCGGGGACACCTGGACAGGTCCAAAGGGACACACAGACATAAGACAAACAATCAAGCTCTCACCTAGGAACAATTTAGACTTACCAAGAAAGACAAATGTTTATAAATTAGCTCTTTATTTTTAATTTAATTTATTTTTTCATTCATTTAAAATAAACAAAACTAATTCATCAAAAATAAAAAAAACATTGAATGAAAAGGGTTCTGAAAGAAGAAAAATTTTTTATAATATCTGCCCTTAATTAAACAAATATAAAATAACTTCAAACAAGTAAACTAGACAAAAGGACCTTCTCCTGCTCCGCTCCTGTTTCCTGGAATATCCACCTTATTCTGCAAGAGCGTATGTGTAAAACTGTAGTATGAGTTTTTTTTTATTTTTTTTTTTTATAACTGCTTATTGTTGTTGCTGTTGTCCATTGTTGTCATCTTTCTTTGTTGAAATCAGGTCTCTCTTGTAAATGAGTCCTCGAGGCTCAATGGGATTTACCTGTAGAAATAAAGGTTGATTGATGTGGGCTGCCATGACAGACAGGTACCGCCCCCTCCCGGTTTTATACTTCCGGTGAGCTACAGCGAGAGGCACTTTTGCTAATGACAAATTCTAGTAATTTGTGCTGTAGCAGGAGGCTTAAACAATTCTAATATGAGTTCGGGTTCAACTTGTGCTGTTGTTGGCTGTCACAACAGCTCCAGAAAACTGAAAGACGAGCTAGAAACGTATTGTTTTGCACATCAACAACTTCGAAAGGCCTGTGTGTGCCCAGCGCGTTACGAACTGCACTCCATGCCGAGGAAGGAGGATCGAAAACGAGCGTGGCTGGCAGCTTTAAAACTCAAATACCCCCCGAAGAGAGTTTATGTTTGCTCCTTTCATTTTATTGATAAAAAGCCCACAGAGCTTCACCCCGACCCGGAGCTCTATCTGGGCTATGACCGGGCCCCACCAAAGAAAAGAAGGCAGCTCATCCGGACCACTGTGAGCCAGACAGCTTCCAGCAACATCGACAAAACGGCCCAATCTGTTCCCGGTGAGTGAAATTGAAAATGTGATTTGTCCCCGCTTCACATTTTAATCATGCTTAGCTCTTATCTTTTACTGAATTATATTATTATTAATGTTATAATTGTAATGTTATAATTACTATACTGTGGATGGTGTTAGCATCAGCGCTAGCTGGTTGCAGTGTTATTGTGGATGTTAGTGTATTATTAATTTAATTCCAAAATACTTTATCACTAAGAGAAAGTACTTGATTGGCAGCCAAATCCAAATCTTAAAGACAAAGTGGTTAGTAATTAACATCAGTAGCATGCTAGCAGAGATGTATATGATTTCATGTAACTGTCCGAGAATAGCTTTTTATTTAGCAACCTGGTAAAATTCAGCCCCCAGGGCTGTAAAAGTCTGGGGATTTTGTTAATAAAGAATATGTTGAGTTATTAGAGGCAGGTTATTTGAAACAGACACAGCTGAAAAAAAAACTTCTTTTAAACTCTTTAAAGAAAAAGCTTAAATGCAACCTAGCTCCAACTGATTTTTTTAAGGATGAAAAACTAAAATCTAATCACAATATTTTGATATTATAGCATAATTTGATGGGGCTTAGGAAAATTTAAGGGGGCTAAAGCCCCACTAAAACAGCACTATTGACATTTAAGATGTAT